AGAAAGTGCGCAAACACATGAATCAACACCTTTCCAGAAGAAGGCTAATATTAAAAAAAAAAACACTCACATCTAAGTAAGCCTTCTTATTCAGAACCACAGATATATCATAACGCTACAATTCACATTTAAACACATTTTTTTATTTTCATTTAAAGATGCAGAGAATAATCTCTTCATCTTCACATTTCATAATAAAAAACCTGCATCCAATGTACGCACTATACCATTTCCCTTCAAACTTGCCTGCAGGGGTTGTCAGGAGTCTCAGCACTATTGCAGAGTCAAGACAGGACTAGTGAGAGGGAAGACCTCTAGCTCTGCACTCTGTCCTTACCACATATTTGAGAGTAAGCAAGCCGATGTTCCTTGGGTTAACCGTGCAGATGATGGGAGACCATACTGTTCACTGTGTAGAACTATGAAGTGATAAATCTTTCTGAAATGTGGTTTAGTAACTTAATTAAATCTAAGAAGGTTATTATAGCTCCAAAGTGTGGACATAACACAATGTTCTGGCACCAAAGTCATGATAAAAAATAAATGGATGATATACACTGTCTTTATTGTACCAATTCTTCTGGGGAAAAGCAATTTAGAACCCAATAAATGTATACAGAAATTGTAATTGAACCTCAGTATTGCGACTGGCGGTGATGAGTGAGAGAAAGCCAGGATTGTGACTCATGGGGGTTGATTTACTAACCTTATAAACACACCACGAACATGTATACACCTCTGTTGTGTGTTCCCTCCCAGCATGATCTATGGGTGGAATCTAAACACCTTTGTAGTGTGTACACACCCAGCAGGTGTGTTGTGCAAAGCCTTGCATAATTTGCAAGGTGATGTTGTGTAAATTAGCTCTATGTTGTGTTGCTTGCGTTGATGAATGCAGGAATGTAAATGCATGAGCTAACCATTTTTGTCTAAACTGTGAAGCAGCATTATATATGCATCATGTGCATGATTTTTCCATATATGGCATTAGTGGAAATATGCTTTTAGAGACTTTTTGGTTGATAAATACGTTTTGCTGTGTGAAAATCACATGCACCTGGTGCATGCGTGTGTTTAGGTTAGTAAATCACCTCCATGAGCTCCTAGTACTTACAAAGTCAAGGATCATAATTATAAGATTTCCTCAAGATGGTACAAAGCCCCATGTGCGATTTAAGGCATTGGTGGGCCCTGAGACTGATGTTGGAGGGCCTGAAAGTAGTCGATATGTTCCACATTGTGTGGAACTGTTCACTTATGCTTTCTGGGATAAAATGGTATTGATTTATGAAAAAAAGTGGGAGCTTTAGAAATACCCAATAATTCATCTTAATAATTCTGCTCCCTAGTTTAAATAGTTTAAAAAGGACATCCATAATACTGGAAGTCCCATCTCATGCTTTTCTTTGCAGAGTAAGCTTGTAAACCTAAAGCCCATGTCAAGGCAAAATTAACCTCCTTTGCACCGCTTACTCCTAGTCCCCTCTCACCCATCCAGTTTACCTTGTGAATCATCTTATACTCACTTATCTTATACTCCACCCTGCATGTCACTTCTTGGCTCCATTTTACGGCTGCGGGGAATTGCTAATTTAACACTGCAGCTGTGCCTGTGCCATCCCCGGTCCGCGCTTGTCCCCTTTTGCTGACATCCTCTTCTGGATGCTAGGAGGGCCCTGTACCTGGGTAGCCAATAGGAAGTGTCCATCTCACGCAGGCAGTTATATGAACTCCCAAATAAGCAACCCACCTTCTTTACATAAAGGAAGATAGAAGACTTGGGACTGGAATGTCACAAGGGGGTCTATATTGGGGGGGGGAGGGGTTAGGGGAAGCTTGGAGCTCCGCTTTAATTCCAATATGTGAATAGAGATTATACTAGCTAAGGAGAATAATAGACAAGATAAATGTTATAATACCTGTGCTAACTTGAATATATTCAAGGCATCAGCTGAAATTAACTCTTACGTCTAATTGGACCAAAATTCTTGATGATGGTAAGTTAAAGATGAGCTGTTGATACCTCATTTATAGGATGTTGGCTCTCACTGAGCATAAGCATGTCTCTCCATCTCTCTTTATTTTTTATGCAATCCCTGTATTCCCTCTACTAACCTATTTCTGCTCCTTTCTCTCCATAGCCTACTCTATTTGTATTACTTCCATTTCTCCTTGTATATATCTTCTCTTCTGTTCCTACTCTTCTTTCCACCATATACTCTCTTTCTACTCTGTCATGCTGCAAGCTCCCTCACCCATACCTGTAATTGAAATGCTAATTATCCAGTAACTGTCTATCTTAAACTAATTATACCCTTTACCTATCCTGTCATTCATATACTTATTGTAAATGAATAACAGAGGGAGTAAAAGAGAGGTTTCCCCCTTTGTTTCAGCTTAATATAGAGATTGTATGTTTAAAATAATAATGTTGAAGATTTAACAGTTTAGGAGGAAGGAGTGATAAGTAATGGTGTTTATTTTCAAATAAAAATCTTACCTTGAATGTAAAAGAAAAAGAATAAATAGATGTTGGACTTTTAGAAAATGTCTGACACTTTGGAAGGGTTCCGTAGTAATGGAGTTGATGGGCGGGTTTAGTGTTTGGTTTCCCTCTGCCCTTTAGCCTGGGAGTGGGCACCTCCACACACAATGTACACATTGCCCCCAGAGGCTGAAGGACTGACTCGCTTCTACAGGCTGCAATGTGAGGACGTGATGTCACCAGAGGGTGGAGGAAGTGGGCAGAGCCAGTCACAGGGTTGGCAGAGAGCACAGGCACTCCAGGCGCAGTGCCTGGAGGGTGAGAAGGGGCGGCTATGACAGTGGAAGCAGTGGTCGAGTATGTAGTGTCTGGGGTGTTGAGGTGCAATGTCTGGGGTTCTTGGAGGCAGAAGGTTCAGAGTCAGTGTCTGGGGTGCTTGGAGGCAGAAGTTTTAGAGTTGGGGTGCAGGCAGTGCAGTGCTGGGTCATAGGGAGATGTCAGGGTACAGAGTGCCAGGGGGAATGGGTTCTTCATAGGTCTGAATGGAAAAGATGCCTACTTGTAAGCCTTCAGGGAGGTTCTCCAACTGAGCATCATCCAACATGGTGTAGGTGTTTGCATTGCATCACCTGATGTAATGTAAGTGCAAGCGGGGTTAGTTAGGTAGGGGAAGGAGGTCATTAGAATTAAGTTATTTGGAAGTATAGTTAGCCATTAGGCCTCCTATGTGCTGCAGTAAGATGCATTTTATAACAATAATAACATAGGGTGGTACATATCAGTAGCATTCATTCAGAATGGCACCCCAATGCGACATACTATACCAAAGTATAGTAGGCGCCAAAAGACTCACAATACAGTGCACCACAATGCAAGTACCTTGCACTCAGTGGCGTAACAATCACCATACCGACCCAGACGGCTGCAATGGGGCCCGGCCAGATGCTGTGCGGGCCGCCTGGGCCATAATGGGATCCTCTGCTGGCGGCTTTTACTGGCGGCTGAAGACGAACATTGCTGTTACTGAGAGTAATCTGTGCAGCAGCGCGTTCCTCTCCACAGAGTCAATGAGAGCCAGCAGCAGCGGTGGAGCAGGCTAGACCCGGCAGTGGAGGAGGAGGCGGGGCCGTTGGTCATCAGCAGGGGAGGAGGTGGGGCGTGGAGAACGCGCTGCTTCACAGATTACTCTCAGTAACAGCAATGTTCGTCTTCAGCCACCAGTGAAAGCCACAAGCAGAGGATCCCATTATGGCCCACACTCTCAAGTGGGATCTCAAGTGGGCTCTGCAAGGGGTATAGCTAGAAATCACGGGGCCCCATACAAAATTTTGCTATGGGCCGTGTGATTTCTAGTTACGTCCCTGCTTGCACTTTTTTTTTCTTTTTTTGCATTGTTATGCTTTGGCGGCCCATTCTTGATGAAATGGCTGCCTTAATGCAACACTTGGTAGCTTGCTTACAGTAGTGCACCACAAATGAATGGCATATTGAAAGGAGGCCCTACATTTTTGTCTGCTTTTCTGGCCATGTGATTTTTTTACTATTATGACTTAGGAGGAGGCTTCCCAAAATGGCAAGCTGCATTATGTGCATTCCATATGTTTTAAAAAACTTCCAGTTTATTCAATCTCATCTGCTATATTATGCGTTTGGATCTTTAGAAATATACTTTTAAGAAGATCAGTGTTTAATAGTTTTAATTAATAATTGCCTTATAATTGTTTTTAACTTAAAGGATACTGAAACTTTCAAACAACATTTTCTAAATGTTTCCTTGTTCCCCCTTCCATTGTGCTGATGTAACCCACCCAAACCCTGTATACTTATACAGTTCTGGCACCAAGTCCAGTCGCATTCTGCTGCAATGTTTGCATGTGGCATCTTCAGCTTCCTGCATGTATGCAGTAGAATTCCATCAAATTTTAGGGGACCAGAAGACTGATCTGTCACTGGAACCCTTAGAAGTATATGTGGTTCTACCATGCATGTGTAGGAAGTGGAACCCAGACCCAGCATTTAGTGACAGCCTCCTCTCACGTCCAGCTATCCCTATACATACTAGAAATCTGCTTCCACAACAGGAAGGTGTATTTGCAACACTTGATAAATACTGATTTAGGTAAAACAATTCTTATTTTTAATAACCAGATATTTTGAATCTAAACCATCCTAAATTTGGCTACTTTAAGAAGATAAGTGTTTATTGGTTGAATTATTAACTTGCTAAGATGTCTTACCACACCATTCCCATGATTAGCTTGATCCAGGATGACAGGATAGTACTACTGCATGATCATTACATCTGCCTGTGTATGTGATCATTGCAAATCTGCATCTACATATACCCCGTTTGGGTCTGGTACCAAATGTTCAAATTTGTGACACCTAATGTAAAGATTGATCAACCCATGCTTGACAATTCTGTGCATTTTCCCAGATTTTATTCACTTTCACATCTGACACTTAAGAACATTTTTGTTTAACTACAGCAAGATAAAAGAGAAAGAATGGTTACCTGTCTACTGCTATGGCCGTCAAGGTAAAGACAGAAACGTATACTGTTACTGGCTGTATCAGGAACACAAAGTAACACATAAACTTTCCAAACACCCAGCCCTGGGAGTTGAAGGCATAGGCAAGAGTGAAGGGCACACACATGGCACACATAAGCATGTCAGAAAAAGCCAGGTTTCCAATAAAGAAGTTGGTGACATTGTGCATCTTTTTGGTTCTCCAAATAACATAGAGGAGAAGGTAGTTCCCAAATATGCCTATCAGTACCACCAGAGTGTAGCAGGGTATGATGAGAGGCTTGTATGACTGTATCAGCTGGACACCAGTGAACTCTGAGCTCGAGTTTGAGCTGTTGAGTTTGACTCTGTAGATAGTCAGATTTGCTGGTACATAGCTTTTGCTTCCGCTGTTCTCCATCTTTCCATCCAGTCTTCAAAACCACTTAATATTCCAGATAAGTGCCATAATTAAGAGCTTAAGTGCAGATTGTTTTTAAAAACGTGAGACTGGTGTTGTGTAAAACTCATATAAAGTCAATATGTTTAATAAAGGGAGTTTATGTGTAACATCTGGTTATGTATAGGTCATGCATAGGCATATTCTTATGCTACATGAGGTTGGTACTAGCGTTGTGACATAATTACTGCAGTTGAATACAATTCCATAAAATTCTAAAAAGTATTGTCTAAATTTCCAATAATAGCTCCAAATCCATTGGCTGCTGTGGACACATCCAAATCTTTTCACCGTAATGGAAACCAAAAAAGATCACTCAGCTTTAGATATTTGTTTGTGAAAACATAGGCAACACAGTTCAGCCACTAAGGTATGACTTGTTGGAATGCTGTATATTTCTCTCCTCTCCATGCCTGCTTTGACAATGAGTTTTCCAGTATCCACCGTTAATATTACTTCTGTTGTTATGTACCAGGACTGTTATTCCTAAACAAATCAAGAGAGAAAAATGTTAACAATTTATTAAGCGTTAGAGAATCCTTCCACCCACAGCTAAAACACATGGTGGTATGGGTGATTTTTATGAGCTAGTAGATTTTATTTAGTCTCTGAGATTAAAAACCAACATTTTAGTCTGAAAGAAATTGTAGGATGAGACCTGCGTCCATGAGAACCTGCATCCATGAGAGAGCTTTATTTGAAAACAGAAGGGGAGTTCCATCTTAGGGTCAGGTACCCTTTGGCAATTTTAATCTTAGCAAGTAAACACTAATATGAAGAGAGTCATTCAACAAGCATTTACAAGACATTTGTTAAGCATAAAGCAGCTTTCTAAAACCCCTTTAAAAACATTAGTACCAGCATGTTAAACCCCCTCCATTACCAGGACTTTTTTCAGTTTTCAGTGCTGTGAAAGTTTGAGAATTACTCCATCATGCAACACTGTACTCAAATTAATTTTATGTCATTTTTTGAGACAGATAGAGCTTTCTTTCAGTGGTGTACATTAACCGCTGTTTTTTTTTTTTACTATATAGAGTGTACTGTATATATGTTATTGCTTACATATACTAAAGCAAATTGGTGTCGAAGGGCAGGGATGCCCAAACATTGCAGAATTAAGAAGCATTAAGAAGGAAGGCTGTGCAGAAACGTTCTTGTGTGTGTGTGTATATACACTATATTTAATATAATAAATGGAAATCTGCGCTCTTGGAAAAACCTACAAATTAAATGACCACAAAGCTGAAAAAAGGGGTGAAACCTTGATGATAAGATAAGATATAAGCAACACATCATAGTATTAGGGACTACTGGAATGGTAAAGATGTTTGAGATATTTAAAGGGACAATCCACTTTACTAAATTAGAGGAAAACATGCAAATTACACTCATTATTGAGTCCATGTGGGGCCATCGTATTCAGTTTGCAAATCCACATTTTCTCCTTACGAAGGAGAACCGTGTTGAAGTCACCTCTATGTGCTGGTAATTTAAGTGAGTAGATTCCCTTGATTGTTAAGCCTGTAGTTTGTCCTCCATGATATTTAGTAAAATGTTGGGCGAGGGGGCTATCCCTATCATTGTTTCTAATATCCCTGAGGTGTTCCCCAATCCTCACCTTCAACTCGCGCTTGGTTTTCCCAATATAGAGTTTCTTACATGGGCATTCAATTTGGTAAATTACTCGTGTGGTATTACAGTTTATAAAATGGAGGATATTGAACCATATTGTACCAGTTGAGTTAAAGAATTGCTTTGACTTGTGCACATAAGGGCAGATCTGACACTTGCCACAGGCGTACATGCCCTTGGGTTTCCCACTTTTAGAGAGCCAGTTCTCCTCAGTTCTAGGAATGAACTCAGAGGAAACCAATTGGTCCCGTAGATTTCGTGCTGGTCGAGCTGTCACTAGTGGGTAAGGACCTACTATATTTTTAATGACATGGCATAACTGTAGAATATGCCAATGTTTTTTAAGGGTATATTTGAGTGTTTGCCAGCCTGTGCCAAATTGAGTAATCATACGGACCCTCTGGTCTGATCTGTCCCTTTTAGTGCTATAGAGGACTTCCTCTCGTGTACGTTTATTTGCTATGGATTGTCTCCTTTTAAGAACTTTATAGGAGTATCCCCTCTCCCTAAAGCATTCGTACATAGCTCTTGATTCCTGCTCGTAGTCAGCAGAGGAGGTACAGTTTCTCTTATGGCGGAGAAATTGACTGTGGGAATACCCTGTTTTAATAATTGTGGATGATGACTACTTGCATGAAGAACAGTGTTTGCTGCCGTGGGCTTCCTGAAAGTATTAGTCACTAATTTATCACCATTTACTTGAATTCTCAGATACAAGAATGAAATTTCATAGGTGCTGACTGTATAAGTCAGATGGATGTTCCTATCATTTTTATTAAGATCCGAAATTAATTCGAGTAATTGTGTGTTGGGGCCTATCCACACCAACATGATGTCATCTATGAATCTAAGCCATGATTTAACATGGCTGGAAAACATGTGGTGTGGATAAACTGTTTCCTGTTCCCATAACCCCAGGTGTATACACGCATAGGCGGGATCCCAAGTGGCCCCCATCAAAGTACCTCTAATTTGTTTATAATTACAACCTGCAAATTCAAAAAAAATATTGTTTAATGCAAAATCGAGGAGGTCCAAAATAAATTAATTTTGGGCTGCTGAATTGGGAAAAAGAGACTCCAAAAAGGTTTTTACTGCTTGTAGTCGCCACTCATGTGGGATAGAGGTATAAAGAGACTCAACGTCTAAACCTACGAGGAGAGAGCCCTCATTTATGGTCAATTTGGCGACCTTTTGGATATTGTCCCCTGTGTCTCGCAAATATGACAGGAGATTTAACATGATGTCTTTTAAGAGGGTGTCCAGGTATTTTCCAACATTTTCAAGGGGGCCACCTGCTGCTGACACAATTTGCCTTCCTGGGGTTTTTTTTATTGTCCTTATGGATTTTTGGTATTAAATAAAACGTGGGAATGTTGAAGTGATCTACTTTCACAAAATTAAATTATTTGTTGTTAAGTAGGCCCTCCTGTTTAGCAAAACTTAATTTGAAATTTAGTTTGCTTACTAGTTTTTTTGTAGGGGGAATCTTTTACTTTCTTGTATGTTAATGTATCGCTGAGAAGACGAGTGGCTTCTCTCAGGTACATCTCCTCAGTGAGGAGTACCACATTGCCACCTTTATCGCTCATCTTAATAATCAAATTTGGGGTGTTTTTTAATTCTTTAAGAGCTTTTCTTTCCTGTTTATTTAAGTTGTCCTGTCCCCTTATTGACCAATTGGTGGCCCTGAGGTCTGCCTCAACCAAATCTCTAAAAAGGCTAATATGAAGATTACTGTTTAAACTGGGCATAGTTTTTGATTTTCTGCTCAGATTTGTGACTCTATTGGTATATATTTCGTCTAGACATTCTTCCTGTGTGATGTTTTCCTCCAAAAGGGCTTCTAAGTCCTTTAGGGCTTGGGCATCCACTGCATCCTCTCCAAGATATGTCTCCTGCAGCATGGGGTCACCCCCCTTGATATACAAGAATTTGAAATAGACTTTTCTAAGGAAGAGATTTAGGTCTTTATATATGACAAATTCATCCATTCCCTCAGGGGGTGAAAAGGATAGACCCCTCTGCAGGATAGAGACATGGTGTGGACTCAGTTGGATGTTTGTTAGATTAATAATATTGTTTGTCTCAGATGTTAAATTCATGTGTTCAAACCCATCTAATTCCTGAGATTTCTTAATCTCAATGTAATTTTTTGTTCCTGAAAAAATTCCTGGCCTTTTATGTTGCCTCTTTCTTTTTCTCTTTCTAATTCTCTTACTCTCTGACCTTGTATGGGAATGTTCTCTGTGTGTTCTAAAAAATTAACTTGTGGAACTCTCTCTTGACCATTTACCTTTATTTGTGGGTCTTCTTCTTCTAGAGAAACTTCTACTTCTGGACTGAAAAAGGTCAACAATGTTGTCCTTTTCCCAGTCCTCAGTATCTCTGAAGAATTTGGACTGTTTTGTTTTCCTCAACATTTGTTGGGCCTTTTCTACATCTTTTTTTTTAAATGTCATTTTGTCTTTGGAATGTGTCCTGTTCCTTGTAAGGGTCTAGATCTTGTTGACTTTTATCAATATGTTTTTGTAAATCGTTCATTTGAAGTTTCTCCTCCTCCACTATCAACTTAATTACCTCTAGACCGTGTGCTATGCACAACTGCTTCCATTTTGTTAGAAATCTTTCATTTTGCAGGTGTTCTGCTGGTATCATTTTTTTTAAAGTCCCCTGGGGATCATCCCTGACTCAATGTATGATTCAAGTGACATTATATCCCACTTACGATTTAGGTGTTTTATGACTAAATTCTTATGTTGACGGAATTTTTTGAAAATCTCATCATTACGTACAGTTGGTTTGTTACTCATAAATGCTTGTGTGAGCAGTACCGGTCCAACATATATGCTGATCAGCTTGTCGTAGTATGCATGGTTTTTTGGAATGAGTGATTTGGTTGATTGACAAATTTTAATAGGGTGTACTTGTGGTGGCCAGTAGGGGTGTGGTTTTTGTGACTCATCAATTTTAAAATGTTGAATAAAATTTACATTTTTGCACCGTACCAGGCATTCCGATCCTCATTGCACTGCCTTTTGATTTGACCTTCTTTTGGTCATTTCACCTCCTGTTTTATACTATCACGGTACCATGCTTGAATTCACTGAGCTCCTGAGATCGACCCATTCTTTTACAAATGTTTGCAGAAGCGTCTGCATGCCTAGGTGCTTGATTTTATACACCTGTGGCCATGGCAGTGATTGGAACACCTGAATCCAATGATTTGGAGGGCTGTCCCAATACTTTTGGCAATATAGTGTATATATAGTTATATGAGGATCAGAATCTCTGTCGCTGTGTCTCTATTGCTGAATTCTCCTTGCATTCTATACAGGTGGCAAGTATCACATTGAAGAGAATTTAATTGAAAATCCCCACAGAGG